AAATTACGGCCGGATCGTGACGCTGTCCACTCACCCCCCTCTATACGCTGTCCACTCACCCCCATCTATTGCCGAGGTCAAAAAAGAGTAGGAGCTATACGGGATCTCCCCCCAAACGACCTACATGGCGTTTCGTGGGACGGCTTCACTTTACTTTACTTAGTATATTAGCTTTCATGTCAGTTAAGAGGATCTAAGTATTCTGTAACTATTTGCTTTGTGTATGGATTTAGATTTTAGTAGAAGTTCCATCTAAAAGGCATTGATTTTCAGGCATTAATTTAATGTGTGTTGTAAGAAATAAACACTTTTATTTTTTCAGTATACTTTTTTTTTAAAGAAAATCTCTGGTCGTAGAATGGACACCTTGGCTCATTGACGTATAAAATATAATGTCTTCTGATCGTCTTTACTTCAATGCTCTTACGGGCAGATAATGTTTGTTAGGAAGTTAATTTCTTTAGATTGGTCTATAAATTGGAAAGAAGTTATAAGCAGATTTACTGTTCTTATAACAGTCAAATCTGATGTGACTTTAACAGAGAGAGGAAATATAAGAAGCTTTATAATTTGAATCAGTCTGTGGCGCTAGAGAAGGAAATACAGCTTCTAAGTATTGGCATACGTGTGTTTATATAATTTGTAAGCATTTTAGTTACTTAGACTAAACGTACGCAGGGTCTGAATAATAGGCCAATACAGTGGCAGCAAATGATCTTATCCAGTTCTAATAAGACGTTTTATGAACTCATTTACTAAGGTGTAATAGAAGTTTTGTGTGGCGTAAAAATTTAAGACTTGCTGCAGAAATCCATGTCGAAACGTTTAACGCAAACATGAAACAAGTATGTCTCTGTGACTAGAGAGGTTTATCAGCCTAATAAATGTTACACAAGGCAGCACGGAAATTGATTTGAAATTGCAGTACGTGCCTGTTTGGTCTCCTGGTTGAGCTAGCCTCAGATCCAGATCTCGTCATGGTTTCTTTTATCTCTTCTAACTTTGAAAACGTTGTGATATTATTTTGTAATTTAGACGATGGATGAAGTCTAAGAGAACAGTTTACAGATTGTAGAACAGGTATCAGGTTTTAAATATTTTTATACGATATTATTTTTAAATATATAAATTGCATACAAGAGAAAGTATATACATTCTGTATTTTCCACCCTTCTCTCCTCCTGTATTCACCATTGACTGTGTCTTATTCTAAATACATGAATTATCTGCTTAGTGCCTTGTTTGTTTTATATATTTTCTTCTCGTTTTAATATGATTTACTTAATTTAATTAATTATTATTACAGAGGTATTTAGTAGCTAGTTACCTCTTGTAATTTATTGATAATCTGTTTGTTGTTATTTTGCTATATTTATTCTATTATTACAGAGGTATTTAGTAGCAAGTTACCTCTTGTAATTTCTTGATAATCTGTTTGTTGTTGTTTTGCTATATTTATTATTTTGTTCTTCTCTCGCGCTGTATCTGTAATTGGCCTTCTGGCTGGCTATTGATGAAGCACTCTAATAATAAATAACTGACTTCAATGAAAAGAAATACAGGATTATAGATAAATATGGATTGAACACGTGCCAGGGGACGAGCAAGTGATGGATGTCCAAGAAAATGCTACTGGGCTTCAGCAGACAGTACCGCCTTCTCGAGAAGAATTTGTGGCTTTGGGAATCTTTCTGTTCTTTGTTTAAATCCATTTTTAAATAACTTGGACTTTAACTGGAAGCTACAAATTTAATATTTTCGTAATAATGTCAGTCACAATCACTTTCTTGTAAAATCGTGTCTCCTTGTTAATTCTTTACGATGACTTTAAAGCACACTGGATCTAAGTATAGCTGAAATTTTTGTTCATACAGATGAAGATACCTGTGTACGATATAGTACATCTTCGAAGATATTAATAACGGTTCGTTTCTCTCGCATTAAGAATATCGTCACACCTAAACTCCAAAGACAAAATTTCCTTTCCTACGAGGGTCGCTCATTAAGTAATGCCCCACATTTTTTTCCTCAGAACATATTTATTCAAGATGGCTCAAATTTAGTGACAATATAAATCAATGTTTCCTTTACACATACTATTTTTCCACATAGTCCCCATCAACTTGTACGGTTTTACGCCAGCGTGGAACAAGGGCATGCATGCCTTGCCGGTACCAGCTCTTGTCCTGTCCCCGTAGCCATGTCCTCACTGCTTGAATCACGCTCTCGTCATCTTCAAATCTTGTTCCGCGGATAGCATCTTTAAGGGGCCCAAAGAGATGGAAGTCGGAGGGTGCCAGATCTGGACTGTAGGGTGGATGGGGTAGCACCGTCCAACCCAATTTGGTGATTTCTTCCCGGGTTCTCAGACTTGTGTGAGGGCGTGCATTGTCGTGCAGGAGCAAAATTTCTGCTGGATGCTTGTGAGGCCGAACTCGTCGAAAACGCTTCTTGAGGGTTTTCAGGGTCCTGATGTACGCGTCTGAATTGATGGTCGCACCTCTTGGCATCACATCCACAAGAATGACCCCATCACTGTCCCAAAAGACAGTCATCATGACTTTTCCGGCGGAGGGAGTTGTCTTGAATTTCTTCTTTCTCGGTGATTGAGGATGATGCCACTCCATTGACTGCCTTTTTGTCTCTGGCTCAAAGTGGTGTATCCAGGTTTCGTCACCTGTAATGATCCGGGACAGAAAGACCTCTCCCTCAGCATCAAAACGCTCCAACAATTCAGAAGAAATCGTTTTCCTTTGAATCCTGTGGTCTGCTGTGAGACTTCGTGGAACCCATCTTGCGCACACCTTCGAATATGCGAGAGCCTGGATAATTGCAATCACACTTCCATTGCTGACTGAAAGCTGTTGGGCCAATTGTCGAGTTGTGATGCGCCGATCCTCACGAATAATGGCATCCGCGCGGTTCAACATGTCTGGAGTGGTGGCTGTGGCAGGACGCCCAGAGCGCGGCAGATCACGGAGCTCGGTTTCTTCACTTCCTGAAGCTTTAACTCTCTTAGCCCAGCGACCAACGGTGCTCCTATCGACTGCACAGCTTCCATACACAGCACACAAACGTTTATGAATGTTCACCACCGTTTCTTTTTCAGCAACAAGGAATTCAATTACAGCTCGTTGCTTGTAACGAGAGTCGTTCACAGACGCCATTTTAACAGTTCACTACAGCTCCGCTATCGGTTGGAATCATTTGAAACTCCGTACACGAACGCGGGAAACATCAAATCTCAAGCATGTAAAAGTACACTTTTCTATCTTCATTATTGGCTGAGAAAAAAAATGTGGGGCATTACTTAATGAGCGACCCTCGTACATTCGGCAGCCGTTTGCTGCCGAGACAGGTTCATATTATCGGTTTTCTTTAGTGTTTATACAGGTGCGAGAAGGGCAGCTTTGTTTGAAGTATCTCGGAAGAATTTATGGAGAATACGTTCATAAAACTTTCGAAATGTGAGATGAATTTATTAAGTTTATCTAGTGTTGTAAGAATAAATTTTCCAGTTTTTAGGTGAGGGAATAAGAGAGTGGAGCTGTTTATTACATTTAGGGTTACATAAATTACAATTGTTTGGAAACAAAGTGCTTAAGAAAATATCTGGAAGGGGTGAGCGGTTATACAATGTGAACGGCTCTGTTCAGGTATTCAGTTTTGTTAGTGTAATAAAATATAGAGTGCTAGACATTTGGCTAAGATGTTGAATTTGTAAGACCGGGAAAGAGATGGCTGAATAACATTAAAACTAATGTAGCGTAGTCTGTGCGATTGCTTTTGTAAAATTAATTGCCACTCTGGATAACGTGAAGTAATAACACGGAACAACAAACATTTTTGATGAAAGTAGTTTATACACGCGCAGTCCTGTAAAACATAACTCACCTAAACTCATTTCATGTAGCAGAATCCTTGTTTAGAAGCTAATACTCGCTCACTAGTCCCACCTTGGAAGTTCGCACGACTGCCGTGACTGGGCTGCAAATAGGAGGAAATGAAATGGTGGGAACAAAGCCCGGATGACTTCTTGTAGCGTAATGTTATCAAATTTCATGAGAATCTGTCATTTGTTGCGAATGTTAGTCCCAGTTACGAGGATGGTACAGACATATGCCTGCCTTTCCTTCTGAAATAATTAAAGTGTGGAAGTGGGAGAGGCATCCGGTCCGAATGAGCGGTAACCAGATTGGCTGTCGAAAACTCTGCGTTACCTAGTGATCCTTTCGGTACCTGTGACAACGCATCGCACGGGCTTGTAATTTCATTCGAGGTACGTTGACCTGCGCGCCTCACCGAAACCGCCATGACCCCATTTCTTCAGTCTCTCCCACGAACAGCTGTAGCGCCATTCTTGTGTTTTATGTTATTATTATTCCATCTATTCATCACTTTAAAGGGTATTTACTTCTATGTACCCGAGACGAACCTTGCCCCTGAGGTACGTAGTACAGCTGCTATTTCTGAAATACATTTTGTCTTTTAATATCCTCTTCGCCACCACGTACGGACAAGCTGTCTGGAACATCCAAAGTATGACATCCAATGGGTGTCGGAGGTAAAGTCAGGAGCGTGTAGCTAATTACACTCGTCTAATGCCGAAGTAAAACATACGCAAACCTTTACCTCCAGCCCCAAACGTCTTCGCGACGTGGTCCATAACAACAGGCCAATTTGACAGCTATGAAAAGGTCATATTTGGCTGCTGTCAACAGATGAAATGAAGGATTGTGTAGATATGACGAAAGAAATTGTAAATAATCGCAGACTGGGAGATACGGAACCAATTAATGCAAAATTTGTTTTACTTTTTAAATTTACTTGGAAGTTCGTTGTTGTAACGTTCAACGCAATTTTTTTTTTTGCGTATTTACATGCTTTTTCGTAGTTTAGCTGCAGGAATCATACAGAAGAAGAATACTGAATGTTGTTATTATATGCTTACATGAAGTTTTGATAAGCGCTGTGTTAATGAAACGTGTTTCTACTTTCAGGAGAACTGTCAGAATTACATTCGTATTCTGGCACACACCGCACCGGGCAAGTTACTGATCTGTGGAACCAACTCCTTCAAGCCAGTGTGTAGAGATTACTCCGTGCAGGTTAGACATAACACTTTGCCATCTCTATTACAAATGAAGGAAATGTACATAATATGTTTGTGAAATTAAGACCAGCGTGGTAGTGATCTTTTCACCAAGTTATATTAAGATGAATTCGGCAGGGGAGAGATGGTGAGACATGGATGGCGTAGGTGGGAGTAAAATATTCTAATGTATCTCAGTGAGATAAGGTGGGAAGTTATGGATTGAACTAATCTGGTTCAGGATGGAGGCTAGTGCGTTGTCTTATGAACACGATAATGAACGTTCGGGTTATTTAATGGAAGGGAATTTGTTGGCCAACTGAGCAACTATTTGCTTGTCATTAAGGATTTTGTTCCGGGTAGTGAGTTGGTGACTTTTCGGAGGATAGGTGTGAAGAAATTGTTCACAGCCACACACGCTGGACTGATATTGTAAGTTGATTACGCGTATGATTTTTTTTTTCTAAAACTCGCTTCCTTCGAAATGTGCGTACCTCATTTACCTTAATACTTATTTAATACAGATAAATAACTAAACCTAATTCCAATGCAGATGATATTCTGCATAAATAAATTATTTTCCTTGTAAATTATTAGTAAAACTGAACCGAAATTAAATTGACGTTGGCTGTCTGCTGGGATGTTGCGCCGTGTAGTTTTGCAGATATTGACCGACGCCACTGTTTTGCCTAAGATGGAGAAGTAAGTTTCCTGAAACGTTGGTCAATATGTAAAGACTGCATGGCGCAATATCACAGAAGATATTCATCTTCATACTCGTCATCCTAAGAACCTGAAATCCCATCGAAATTAAATTCTTTCAACAAATGGTTGTGTTCACCCTCTCATCAGTACCAAATGCCAGTCGTTACAGGCCGACGGGCGTACACTTCCACACTTAAAAATGTTCATATCTTACAGTTTGTGCAAATAACACGCGATAGTGAACTTAATGTGCATAATAAATACTTCTGAGGGAGCATCTGCTTAAAGCAGGGCGTCTATTTTACAAGGATCCAGGCTAGTTTTACCGATGGTACAGTTGGTACTGTGAAGTGTCAGGAGTGTGCTGGACCCCGGCGCAATAAAAGTTGATTTTAGAGCTGTACTGCGAACCGCCATAAGGGTGTATACGCGTCTCTAGGGAAGACACATGCTCATGTGGAAAAGGCAGTAAATATGTCAGGACTTTGTCCTCCAGAGGTTTCGTGGGACCGTTGTTTCTGCCATTGCTGCTTGTGTCCAGTGACTGAATACTCAGAAGTCATCCATTTTCTTCTACTCTTCAGGTGCAACTCGGCGAATGGACGTACTCGTGCTTTATGGTGCGGGTCTTCGTTAAAAAGTTAAAATTACTCGGTGTTTAAGATATTCCTGCTTTTATGGAACCCGAACATTCATCAAATTCCACTATTAGACCACTTCCTATGTTAAAGACCCATTATAGTAGTTTGTCCTCTGATTTAAAATAGTCGGCATCAAATTAACTTGCGGTTGGAAACAAAAGGGGCAACTACGCATATATTATTACAGATAAAATATTAATTTTATTTAGGTATATTTTAACCCTGGCCTACAGACATAACACGGGCAGATAAGAGATGCTGATAACTATTTCCCAAATTTAATGTGTTCTTAATATCATCACCATATTAAGACCTTCAAGAGGTAGACATATTAGTCCGTTTGATTATCGCCCTGATGACGGAGGCAGTATAACCTCTGAAACGTTGGTTATCATCGACCAGACTACACAGCGCAACAATCCAGAAGACAGAAATCTTCGTACTCATCGCCCTGATGATGGAGGCAGTATGACCTCTGACACGTTTGTAAACATCTACCAGACTACACAGCGCAACAATCCAGAAGACAGAAATCTTCGTACTCATCGCCCTGATGATGGAGGCAGTATGACCTCTGACACGTTTGTAAACATCTACCAGACTACACAGCGCAACAATCCAGAAGACAGAAATCTTCGTACTCATCGCCCTGATGATGGAGGCAGTATGACCTCTGACACGTTTGTAAACATCTACCAGACTACACAGCGCAACAATCCAGAAGACAGAAATCTTCGTACTCATCGCCCTGATGATGGAGGCAGTATGACCTCTGACACGTTTGTAAACATCTACCAGACTACACAGCGCAACAATCCAGAAGACAGAAATCTTCGTACTCATCGCCCTGATGATGGAGGCAGTATGACCTCTGACACGTTTGTAAACATCTACCAGACTACACAGCGCAACAATCCAGAAGACAGAAATCTTCGTACTCATCGCCCTGATGATGGAGGCAGTATGACCTCTGACACGTTTGTAAACATCTACCAGACTACACAGCGCAACAATCCAGAAGACAGAAATCTTCGTACTCATCGCCCTGATGATGGAGGCAGTATGACCTCTGACACGTTTGTAAACATCTACCAGACTACACAGCGCAACAATCCAGAAGACAGAAATCTTCGTACTCATCGCCCTGATGATGGAGGCAGTATGACCTCTGACACGTTTGTAAACATCTACCAGACTACACAGCGCAACAATCCAGAAGACAGAAATCTTCGTACTCATCGCCCTGATGATGGAGGCAGTATGACCTCTGACACGTTTGTAAACATCTACCAGACTACACAGCGCAACAATCCAGAAGACAGAAATCTTCGTACTCATCGCCCTGATGATGGAGGCAGTATGACCTCTGACACGTTTGTAAACATCTACCAGACTACACAGCGCAACCACCCAGAAGACAGAAATTACGTTTTGTTCATTTGTAAAAATTGCACTTGTGGGAAATTTTCGAAACGACAGTATTTGTGGCTACCTGCTCAGCATTCTTACATCCATTCTAAAGCCATCATGAACGAAATAAAAGTTTAAGTAAGATGGATAAAGCCAAAGGGAAGTTTGCAGTGTCTCAGTTCTGCTGAATTAATTCCACCACTGGGTTTCTTCGTGTTGGGGAAAGTTGAAGGTTACTGCAAGGTAGGAAAGCAGTCACGAGTCAAGAACTCGAGCATGAAATTGAAGAGTCGGTCGTAAGCTCCCACCCTTGTCCTAACAATATCTGTGCACTGTATCACCCCTCTGACGGCAGTGCGTTTAACGCTGTGAGCGCCTTCAGGAGCGAACAGTTTACCCACTCGGATCTTTCGTTCCCCGCATACTGAGGACGCCATACATTTCCCAACGTTTCGGAGAAACATACAGCCTCCATCTACAGGCCTTCAGCTTTAGAAACTGAGGAAAAACATGGAAGTCAAAATAGGCCCTCTCTGGCCTGAGACTCGAATTTGAGACATTCAGAATATGAAACTGGAATGCTAACCATTGAACCTCATATGTGGCGTGAATAATAGGATGTGTTTATGCACAGCTGATGTGACGTAAATCGTGATCATCTTCCACCGTTCGCGTGGATGAAGTCGGTGACCCGTTTTTAATTAAATTGAATATTGTATAAGGTTTAAGAAAAATTGTAAATAAGTTTAAATCTTTATTTATATGGTACAGTTTCAAGTACCATTTTACATAAGCGCATAAATTTTTTTGAGTTTGTTTCAAAATCTTGCGAAAAAGGTTACTTATATTCTTAGCCTATTTAAAAGTACAACTGATTGTTATGTTCAAAGGATGACATTATGCAAAGTTTATTTTTTGTCCTGCATGTGGACACAACCTATTTACAACCACCCACGACCCGAAAACATCAGTAGTAAGTACCTGGAACCAAGTACATGTTCATCGTCGTGATAATCACAGATCTCATATAGTAAGTACAGTTCGCAGGTATAGCAGGTACCAGAACCTAATTGTAATGTAGGCCTATTATTTCAGTTAGCATATTTCATTTTCGGAACATTTGTACGGTGTCCGATTTATAAGCCCTTAATTGTCCGTAACCCAAATATAGGTCTATGCTTTCGTTACAGAATGTACGATCCTCATTGTGAGAATTGTAGTTTATGTTTGCTATTTCTCTCTGTGGTCGAATGACATATATACATTAAGAATGTTTAACAACGCAGTAAATGTGCGACGTTGGCTCTGGGTCGTTAAAAGGACTCGTGTTGTTCCCTCTTTCGATGTACGTTTTTATCTTACATTATATTCCGGATTCTGTAATAGGCGTGTGTCGTAAAGAAAAAATTTCCTCGTATAAAATCGGTTGTTGAGGAATAAAACGTACAAATGCTTTGTTAATGGCCTTTCGCCCTTAATAAGGGCATATTTCTGTGACCCAGACACTGAAGATAATATTTTACTGCATCCATTGTGCTTGTTACCGTGGCTGTAATTCGAATTGAAATGGAAATGAGACGGGACGCGCTGCTTGTACGTGCTTTGGCTTTAAACTCTCAAGTTATGAAGACTTGTCTCGGCTGCCATTTGTAGTTTCTAGAATGTACTTTACGGTCTTAAGTACAAGACTTTATGAAGTGGATAAAAAGTGGCAGCCAGATTTTTTTGTGGGAGGAGAGATGTGCAAAAAATGTTTCTTGTGTTAAGATAAATTTAGTCTGTAGTTAGAATCAAGATAAAGCTGTGATGACGAAGAAGTTTTGAGTTAAGTAACGTGGTTGGTTCTGCGTGCCTGTGTGAATTAGGTCATAGCAGATCTTTGAATTGAGTGAGTGGAACGGACTTTTAATGGAGAGGTTGTCTCAGTTTCTCTCTCCACATGTTTCATGCCAAAATCACAATAACAGATTATGATAAAATTTGGTAGTGATGGGTTTTCACTTACAGTTAGTTGGTTGAGTTTTATTGTATTTATGTCGGTGCATTGTCATCTCTAGGCTGTTGTACATAACCGAAAAGAACTTCGAATTTTTTTCAAAAATAACTTCTGTTAAAAGAATACACTTTATAGGTTTCCTTGGGATCTATAATTTTAATTTGAAACATTTTTAGACTTAGTGTATACTTAACAATGTACAAGGGAGGAAGAATTATATTCCTTTATGAAATTTATTCTACAGCGCTAGGTGACGTACTTCGT